TAAGTTGATATTTATTGAGTGGTAAAGAATTGAACTAATTGGCTTCTCCCTTGGCAGATGGTGAATGTGTACCACGTACATCAGCATTCCTGTTTCCTGTACCTTGGCAGTATCCTTGTGGATGAGTATGGTATGGAAGAGGGCTGTCGGCAAGGACTACTAGATATGCTCCAGGTCTGTTTTCTTTGGGGAGTATAGATGTGTTGGGCTTGGAGGGTCTAAAGGCCTAGCAGTGTGTTCTTCACCGTGTCTTTAATTCTGTTGCTTCTTTATGTCCCCTCCCTCCCCCGGGCATGTTGATTTTCTAATAACAGGGAGGTAGAAACTTCCTAGTTGTTCTCTGGACAGGCCTGCTTGGGAGACTGAGAGAGATTGACCGCTCAAATGTTACAATCATTATAGATATTACCGCCTAATTTATGCTCTCCAGAGACAGGGTTTTTTTGGAGGAGTGGGGAGGTAGGGAAATGGATTTAAAATAAAGGATCTCGAAACTCAGGCATGATTCTATTTTTTATTTCTTGCCTAGAACAGCCAGTAAAGTAGTTTACTTAGCAGGGGTGGGTGTTAGGGTAAATAGCAGACATTGGAAAAGGCTCCTGATATAATTCTTTTTTCCTCCTCCTAATTGCAGTGGAGGAAACATATTAGGGAGTTAAATTATGATGCTCCTTTTCCCAAGAGGTCTTTCCCTTTAAAACTTCACCTATTATTTCATACATTATTATTAAAACTTCACATCTACTCCCTTAGTGGACTGACCATATCTAGGACATGAGCATAGTCTTTACTCTCAGAAACTTCTCAAACTTTAAAACAAAATCTGTCCATCTTCGTATCACCAATACTTGTACCCTCAACCCTTTCTGAAATGTGGATTTTAAATGTGAAAACTCTATGTCAACTGAGAAGGATTTCTGTCTTCTTTTCTTGATCTGATTCTTGTCATAGTCTTTTTCTTTTCCCGTCTGTGCTTCCCCTCTTTATTCCCTTTATGTTGTGATACTGAGGAAGTCTGAATGCTGTGGCATTTAAGACAAGCATTTGTTTTAAAATCATTTCTGTTGTAGGCACTGTGCATGCCCACCTTTCAGCTCCTAGAACAGCAGAATGGACTCCAGAACCACCCGGACACGGTGGACGACCTGTTCCGGCTAGCCACCAGGTCAGTCCTTCCAGAGAGCAGCCCTTGCTCTTACTGTTCATCCCCGTCACTGCCTAGTCTTGCCACCTAACACTTGACTTTTCCTCCTCTGAAATGAGGTAAGTGGAGTAGGTAGATTTTTGATTCGTAACCCAAAGTTAAATTTTGAACTAGAATATCCCCAAAAGTGAAGATGAAGAGTTGGATGGAAACAGAGAAAAGTAGCTGAGTTCCCATCACGAAGGAGGGACATACACAAGACAGTAAAAATGAGCTTGTGAAACACATTTGACTGGATAGTTTTAGTTTTAACTTTTTATGCTGCTTTGAGGTCATGCGTCACCTCATCTTTTTCCTTGAGCAGCTTAGCATCCTTTAGATACAATTACATCTCAGAATAAAAAATTCTTAGGATTTTAAAGTACCTTAGAAGTTATCTGGCACTACACTTCCCAGCTCTACCTCTAGCCTGCCACCCCACTTAATGCTTAAATTCCTTTTGCCAGCAACACTGATGTTATTGCCAAACCCTTGAATTCTTGTCAGTCCCAGCTAAGGAATTTGAATCAAACCAGTTAGTGAGCATAAAAGCACTTTTTAAAAAAAAAAACATTATTAAATATATATAATTATATATGTAATATATGTATTTTGTCATTTACAATTGTAAAGTAGTATTGACTTCACTTTCATCTCAGGTTGAACACTTTTTTTGTTCGTTTTTTAGACAAGTTAGAAAAACTTTTTTTTTTAAGTTGATATAAAAGAATTGTTGGGTGGGTTGTCAACCTTTTTTTCCCAAGATGTGTTCTTTGAAAAACTAATCCCTAGAGATGTTCTTTGTACAAGTGTTACCTGGTGAAATCAATTTGGAAAAATATTGTATCTTTTTCTTGGACATTCTCCATATACATTAAAGGATGTGCGAGACCTTGTGGAAAATTGAAAGTATTGCATTTCCGTATACCCCCTGCTTTCCCCACCCGCTCCCTTACTATCAACATCCCCTATCAGAGTGGTTTGTTTGTTAAAACTGATGAACCTACATTGACACGTCGATATCACCCAAAGTCTATGGTTTACATTAGGGTTTACTCCTGGTGCTGCACCTTCGATGGCTTTGGACAAATGTATTAGTGATATGTATCCACCATTACAGTACCGTACAGAGTAGCTTTCTACCCTTAAAATCTCCTGTGCTCTGCCTGTTCATCCCTTTGTCCCCCATCCCAAACTCTAGCAGCCACTGATCTTTTTACTACTTCCATAGTTTTGCCTTTGATCCTGAGTGCTCTTATGGCCGACTCCTGTCATTTACAGCCAGCCCGTCTTTCTTTCCACACCAGGTTCATTCAGCGTAGCCCCGTTACTTTGCTGAGGAGCCAGGTGGTCATCCCTATCTTACAGTGGGCCATTGCCTCCACTACCCTGGATCACCGGGATGCCAACTGTAGTGTCATGAGGTTCCTACGAGACCTCATCCACACGGGGGTAGCCAACGATGTAAGTATAAACATTGTACCTTTTCTACTTGCAACTCATTATCTTCTCATATTTCTTCCTCTTTTCCTTTAGCGTATCTGTCTCCTTATTTGATCTCTGTTGGTAGGCATATACCATAGTGGATCATTCACTAACCAAAATACCAACTTTTCTATTTAAGACAACCTGTACTGAGTGCTGTAAGCTGTATGAAACAGTCTAAAATTATCTCTGCTTCCAGGCCATTTGCTTTCTAGTCGAAGAGATAAACCGATAGAAAGACATTAACAAGATAGTATTTAATTGACAGATGGGTGATAAAACTCATGATTACTATGAGATCAAAGAGGGAAAGCCCTTTGGAAAGAAGTGGATTGGGATAACTTTCTGGAAGAGGAGGGACCTCAATGGGGCCATAAGCTTTAGGTAGAATTTGGGTAGATTGGAGCTGGAAGGATAGTCTAACTGGGGGTATAAATCCTGAGCAGAGAGTCAGGATAGCACTAAGTGTGTTAGTAGACAATTAAGAGACCTGTTTGGCTGGAGTAGTCAAGTGGCTCATAAAGTTTTTAAAGGTAGATTTGGCTAGGTGTGGAATAGAATTGAAGGTAAGGGAAGTGAAGAAATAAGCAAGTATGTATGTGAATAGGTTTAATTATTATTAAGAAGTTTGGCAGTAAAAGAAGAGAGAAAAAGAAAATAACTAGAAGTGAAAAGCAGTTTAAAAGTTATGTTTTTTAAGATGTTAGAAATATATGTGTATTCAAAGACTAAGATAAAGGAAGAAAAATAGATGTTTTTGATAGAAAACATGAGATATCTGATAGAAGTCTTCAATTCTTATTTCAGTTGGTTTTTAAAAAGGAAATAGGGATATTTAGTTATTTTTGCATAGAAAAAAAGATTAAGAAAATTGCTACCCTTCATTTTTAATCATTGTTTCTCTTTTGCCTTATATTCATGAAAAATCTAGACTGAAACCCATGCCTGTTACCTTGATACTAAACTCTTATTTTTTTATTTTTCAGTTAGAGTTGACATTCAATATTATTTTATATTAATTTCAGGTGTACAGCTTGGTGGTTAGACATTTATGTAATTTATGAAGTGATCCCCCCCAATTTGTCTAGTACCCACCTGGCACTATACCTAGATATTACACAATATTACTGGCTATATTTTCTATGCTGTACTTTACAGCCCCGTGACTATTGTATCACTACCAATTTGTACCTAATTCCTTCACCTTTTTCACCCAACCTCACAAACCCCCTCCCATCTGTCAACCAAGTTTGTTCTCTATCTACGAGTCTGTTTCTGTTTTCTTTGTTCTTTAGATTCCACATATAAGTGAAATCATACGGTATTTGTCTTTCTCTGACTAATTTTGCTTAGCATATTACCCTCTAGGTCCCTCCATGTTGTCGCAAATGGTAAGATTTTAGTTTTTTTAATGCCCAAGCAATAGTTCATTGTATGTATGTGCCTACCACGTCTTTATCTAATTGTCTATTGATGGGCACTTAGGTGGCTTCCATATCTGGGCTATTATAATAGTGCTGCAGTGAACATAGGGTGCATGTATCTTTTCAAATTAGTGTTTTAGATTTCTTTGGATAAATGCCCAAAAGTGGGATTGCTGGATGATAAGGTAGTTCTATTTTTAATTTTTTGAGGTGTCTCCATAACTGTTCTCCATAGCAGCTGCACCAACCTGCAATCCCATCAACAGTGCATGAGGGTTCCCTTTCTCCACATCCTCGCCAACACATATTGTTTCTTGATTTATTGATAATGGCCATTCTGACAGGGTGAGGTGATATCTCTTTGTGGTTTCTATTTGCATTTCTCTGGTGATTAGTGACATTGAACATCTTTTCATATGTCTACTGGCCATCTGTACGTCCTCTTTGGAGAGATGCCTATTTAAGTCTTCTTCCCATTTTTTAATTAGGTTGTTTGTTTTTTTGGTGTTGACTTGTATGAGTTCTTTTTAAATTTTGGATATTAACCCCTTATTAGATATATCATTGGCAAATATCTTCTCCCATTCAGTAGGCTGTCATTTCATTTTGTCAGTGGTTTCCTTTGCTGTGCAAAAACTTTTTAGTTTGATGTAGTCCCACCTGTTTATTTTTTTCTTTTGTTCCTCTTGCCTGAGGAGCTATATCAGGGGAAAAAAAATTGCTAAGCAATATCAGAAAGTTTACTGCTTATGTTTTCTTCTGTGAGTTTTATATTTCAGGTCTTACATTTAAGACTTTAATCCATTTTGAGTTTATTCTTGTATTTGGTGTAAGAAGGTCGTGTAGCTTGATTTTTTTTTGCACATATCTGTCCCGTTTTCCCAACACCATTTATTGACTAGACTGTCTTTACCCCACTGTATATTCTTGCCTCCTTTGTCATAGATTAAATGACCATATAGGTGTAGGTTTATTTCTGAGCTCTCTATTCTATGCCATTGATCTGTTATACCAGGGGTGCCAAAAAAAAGTATACAAGTGGACACTTTGGTCAACATTGTTCAAGTAGTAGTTTATCATAATCAGAAGTGTCTGGACGTTGATGGTAACTACTTGGAGCACCTCTTGTAATTGCAGAAGTCAAACGTGACTTGTATTCATTGTTTGTTATTAGTATATATTGAGTATTACAATGTTTTTTGTTTTTTAATAATTCTGTTATCATACTACCATTTTTTTAGGGGGGAGACGGACAGTGCATTTTTCCAGGACCCATCAGCTTCAAGTCAAGTAGTTGTTTCAGTCTAGTTGTGGAGGGCGCATCTCAGTGGCCCATGTGGAGATCAAACCCGCAACTTTGGCGGTTTGAGCACTGTGCTTTAACCAACTGAGCTAACCAGCTGCCCCAAGTATTACAATTTTAATACAGTCTTCCTTTCTTAAAATGTGTATACATTTTTTTGGTCACCCTCTGTATAATATATATACATATAATATATGTACTTTTTAAAGAGAAATTGCTAGACTAAAGGGAAAATAGTACTTGGTTTTGGAAAGTTGGAATTAGAACTCTTCCATTGCTCCTGTTTTCTGCAGCATGAAGAAGACTTTGAATTACGGAAAGAACTGATTGGACAGGTGATGAACCAGCTTGGACAGCAGCTTGTAAGCCAGCTGCTCCACACATGCTGCTTTTGTCTCCCTCCCTATACCCTACCAGATGTGGCTGAAGTGCTCTGGGAGATCATGCAGGTTGACAGACCGGTAAGATGATTTTCATAAGGAACCCATTCTCCCAGCCCTACGCTTTGTTCCTTGAGGCTGACTATAACTTTGAAACCAGCCCTGTCATACATTCGTGGAACCTAATTTAGGCGTATTGGTAAGTTTAATTGTTAGATGAAGGGGCCTATAGGAGGCCAGTAATTCATCATTGGGTTCTCAAAAGCATGTTTGTGTCACTGTTGTATAGTTTATGTATCACCAGAAGTGAAGACTAAGCATTGAATTCAGCTGTGTGGCTGGCCAATGAGAAATTTGTTCACTTGCGGAGATGGCCATATATCAGTTATATAGTGTTACAAGTTATTCAAGGAGTATTAATTCACTTTAATCTGCTTAGATAGCACTGTATGGTTCCCTGGTAATAAGTCTAGCCAGAGCATTTGGAGGCATGTAGGTATAAAACTAGCCCACACTATATACTTGGACTTGTTTCCCCTTTGGATTTATTTGCTTCCTGTTTCAATTCTTGAACCAAGTTCTTCCAGTTCTTCATCACCTGAGCATGAAAACTACTTTTAGGCTATCCAGCAATGTCCAAGTAATTTCAGTACTGGGCCACATGATCACAAATCAGGTTATGTGCACTGCATGAAAGTTTTTAGCATAGTGGTAAAGTATAACATAGTCTATAAATTAGTTTTTAATGGAATTTACAATTTTTATATTAATATAAAAGCAGTTCAGAAAAGTACAGAGTTGGACCTAGTTAAAATCAGCTGTCTTCCAGAACAGAAAAGTGCCGATACATAAGTATCTTATAACTTCGGAGTCAGTATGTATCTTGATGGTGTCTCCTGCTTTATATCATTTATGGCAGTTCTTAGCCTCAATTTCAGCAGTTTCACAAAAGGGAGTGCACTTTTACTGCTAACCCTAACATGACTGGGCCAGGAGTTCTGCCTAGTCTCGGATTTGTGTGTTCATCTCCAAAATTCAATGCTTAGTTATATAGTCTTAGTGGGCATATGCTTTACTTGATCCTTGGCTCATCAAACAAAAAACAATCATAATTAGGTCAGTTGCTTTCATAGATTTCTAACATTTTCTTTAAGTTTAACAGCCACATGAACTTTAATTCTTACACATCAAACTCTGTGAGGCTCCTGTGTGGCTTTGGTTTCATCAAATAGCTCTGCAGATTTTCCGTATAAGTTTAAATGCTTCAGGAATGAGTTGTACCAACAGTTCCCATTGCTGGTTGTTCAATACACATGTTTCATTTCTATTTCAATCTAATACAGTAATATTTTTGTGTTTTCCTAAAGAAAGTACTATGTGAGCCCTTGGGGACCAACAAGTTTAATCCCAAAAGTATTTGACATGAGAAATAAAATTACCATAATTTTTTACAAATATATCTGGTTCCCAGGTAACAAAGACTTATTACCTAAATTTAATTTTACAAAAATGTTATTGATTTGTAAACATATAGTTAAATGCTAACAGAAGAAGAAAATGAGAACAGCAAGTTTGGGCAGGAATAGAAACCAGGTAGCCATGTGTTCTTAAGAGTTTACTATATACCCATGAATTGTTGAGTAATTAAAAGTGATAGGTGTAGTTGATGTTTATAGAAAACAGTTTTTGTAAAGGCACCCTTAGATAAATTTGGGTTGTCTATACCCGACAAACTGATTGAAATTTTAATTAAGGATTTAAGTCCAAAGAAAATTTATATTCTTGTGCCCTTTCTTAATCATATCAGTTTCAAAGTTCAACATACAAGTTTTTCAGTAGAAGATGACATACCAGCTTTGTCTCTTGACTTGAACAAACTATTAAAGCCCTTTATTCTGTTTCCCACTTTCTTTGTTGGATACCTGTCTGACAAATCTATTCTGTATTTTCAACCAGATTTCTCAGATTCCTTTACTGGAAGATTATATGGCCCATTATATGCTAGCTAATTATTTTTTGCTTTCTAGTTTAGTTTCTTACTGTTTTTGTTTTAGGGGATACTATAATTAACCCATGGGTGATTTTTGGATGGGTGACTTTGTCAATTAAGGGTTCTTCCTGACTCTTGTCTCAGCTTGTTTTTGTCTGAGTGTTGTCTTCCTTAGAGGCAACATTTGGAGAATTATACAGTACTTTTTAAGCATTTATAGTGGAATATATACTTTTGCTCTGATCATAACTTATGATCATAAATAAACATAGTGAGAAAATATATATAAAATATATAACATCAAAAAATTAGCTGTAAACTATGACCAAAGTATGCATCCTCCTTAAGAAAGGAATGAAGAAAAATTAGAGCTGACTCAAAGAACAATTTAGCTGAAAATAAGAACCGAAAGGAAGTCTTTAGAATTTTGATTTTTAGTTTGAAGAGGAAGGAAGTAAGGGGGGTGAGGACGGGCAGGCTTTGTGCTTATAAAAGACATAAAGAGACTATGCTTGGATATAAATAAATTCTTTTAAATAGTAACAACTGTGAGCAACAACAAAAAAATTTTCTAACCCAGAGAACCGGCAGGTATCACAAAAGAGCTTATTGATATAACTTCTACTGAAAGAGATGACCTTAAAATCCTTGATTCTGGTTTCATATTACATATATACTTTTTGACATGTTTACTTATTACACTTTTTGTCCTGCTCTTTCTGGTAACTGTATCTTTGCTTTGGGTTGCCTTTAATCTTTCTGCTCGAGTTTTCTGGCAGCTATTCAGTTTTTAAAATATTACATAAGCTTAATGACAGGAACAGAACAATAGCCTCATCTAGAAGAGATTTCCTTTCCAAGGTAGAAGCGCCTTGTCTGAAATGATGCCTGCCACCTACCCTGCTCCTTGGAAGGGAAGCCTAGGATAGGCATGCCTTTGTAAACTATTCCAATCCCTGGGTTGGAAGGCCTAAAGATAGTACTTTTGTGCATTGCTTTACTTGGTTCCAAGTCTGGGGGAACTAATGCTACTAAGGAAAACCTGTGGCTTTTTGTTATTGCTGTAGAGTCCCAATTGAGTAAGCTCTGCCTCCTTTTAAAACTCTTATCCCACTTCTTCTTGGTACAGACCTTTTGTCGATGGTTAGAGAATTCCTTGAAAGGTTTGCCAAAGGAGACAACTGTGGGGGCAGTCACAGTGACACACAAACAATTAACAGATTTCCACAAGCAAGTCACTAGGTGAGTGATACTGGGGTTTGTGTGTGTGTGTGTGTGTGTGTGTGTGTTTAAATGAATGTAACAGCAGTTGGGTGGGGTGTATAGAAAAAAAAAAAAACCATGTCTTTGTTTCTTATACCATCTTATTTACAGCTCTGCCCAGGAGTATGTTTCTTGCGTGCCTTTGTATATTCACAATTTAGTGTCCGTGTAGCCTTGAATTGCACAAATAAGCATTGAAATCCAATCTTGGGGAAAATATCACCATGCAGTATATGTGTGTCAGTTTTATTGTATATGTATTAACTGGTGTAAGATCTTAATGGTTAAGTGGAAATGTTACTTCTTCAAAAAGAAAAATGCACTGAGTAGTCCACTATGCTACAGGAGATCTGTTCTTTTTTGTTTGTTCGTTTGTTTTTGTTTTGAAACTCTCAGTTCTCATCCATATTCACAGGTAAAGAATATAGGTGCCTGAATAGGCGAAGCATTGGTTGTAAAACATTATACAGTGATGTAGACTGCAGTAAATTGGCAAATTTTTTGCCAGGCCCGAAGATACTCAAATTCTCATTTTGTGCAGACTAAACAAAACATCTCTCTGGGATACATTAGGCTCATGAGCCCCTTGCTTACAGCTCAGTTAAAATGTTAAGTGTACCTAAGTATTCTTTTTTTACTGTAAGCATAATAAACATTTTAAATATAGCTTCATAATCTTCCTAGTTACTATTTTATACAGGTGTTGCTTGATTTCCTTACAGTGCCTCTATTAGTAGACAATTGGTTTTGGCTTTTGGGGCATTTTTTTTTTCACTTTTTCAATATTACGGATAATATAGAAAGTCTAGCCTTTTCCTTCTTTTGACTATTTTCTGTAAAAATCACTGAATCAAAGGTTATGAGCTTTTTATGGCCCTTGATAACATTAACAACAGCAACTTAAATTGGATTTGGTAACTGTATGTTACCTTGCCCTGATATTCCTTTTTCTATCTAGAGTCTTGAGTATTTTGACTAAATTTTAGGCAATGGTTTCTATTCATACAGTTGTAGAACAATTTATAGATCTAAGAATGAGTGTGCAAATGAAGTAGGTTATAGTGAAAAAACTGGAAATATTCTAATTGCCAATCAATAGAGAATAATTAGATAATTAACAGTATGTCTATACTAGTAAATAGGCACTAAAAAGAGAAGTAAAAAATGCATGATGCAGAAAAATATATAAGATATATTATAAAGGGAAAAAATAAGTGTCATGTAACCCAACTGGCACTTAAAATTTTTATTTTATTTTTATTTTTTTTATTTATTTTTTAAAAGATTTTATTGGGTAATTGTGGGAGGGGAACAGTGTTGGGGACTTGGGGAAGGGGACCAGCCAAGTTGTTCTTCAATCTTCATTGTGGAGGGCAGTCACCATCTGGCTGCCCATCGGCAGCCCGTGGCCTCTAAGCTCAAGGTGCTTAGTTCAATCTTAGTTGTGGGTGGGCGTAGCCACCATACCATGAGGGAGTTGAACCTGGCAGCCTTGTTGTTAAGAGCGCATGCTCTATCCACTGAGCCATCCGGGTGGCAGCTCAGCTCAAGGTGCCAAGTTCAGTCTTAGTTGTGGGTGGGCGTAGCCCACCATCGAACAGGCAATCTTGTTGTTACACCAGCTGAGCCATCCTGCCACCTGTTGGCAGCTCAGCGACAGCTCAGCTCGGGCGCAGTGTCACTGGCCCATGTGCGTTTCGAACCAGTGGCCCTGTTGCTCAGAGCTTGTGCTCTTAACCAACTGAGCCACTTGGCTGGCCCTTTTTTTTTTCTATTTTTAATGGTGGTAAAATACACAAAAAATTTATCACCTTAACCATTTTAAGTATACTGTTCAGTAGTGAATGTCCAGAATTTTCCATCTTGCAAAACTGAAACTATACCCATTAAACAACAACTTCCCATTCCCCACTCCCCCTGCCCCTGGCAACCATCGTTCTACTTTCTGTTTTTATGAGTTTGACTACTCTAGATACCACATGTAAGTGAAATCATATAGTATTTACTTGTTTTTTTGTGGCTTGCTTAGCATCATGTCCCAAGGTTCAACTATGTTGTAGCATGTGTCAGAATTTCCTTCCTTTTTAAGCCTGAATAACATGCCATTTTATGTACAGACCACATTTTGTTTATCCATTCATGGGCGATGGATGTTTAGGTTGCTTCCATATCTTGGCTATTGTTGATAATGTTGCAGTGAACATGAATGTACACATATCTCTTCAAGACTCTGCTTTCAATTCTTTTAGATATATACTTGGAAGTGGAATTGCTGGATTATGTGGCAATTCTGTGTTTAATTCTTTGAGGAACCTCCATACTGTTTTCCATAGTGGCTGCACCATTTTACATTCCCATCAACAGTATAGAAGGTTCTAATTTCTCCATATCTGTTTTTACTTTTGTTGTCTGTGCTTTTGATATCATATTCAAGAAATCATTACCAAATCTAATGGCATAAAGCTTTTCCTGTTTTCTTCTAAGATTTTTATAGTTTTAGGTCTTAGATTTAGTAGGTCTTTGTTGCATTTTGATTTAGTTTTTGTATATGATGTATGTTAAGAGTCCAACTTCATTCTTTTTTGCATGTAGATATCTGGTTTTCCCAGCATTACCCTTCTGTGCATTGAATGGCACCTTATTGAAAACCATTTGACCATATATGCGAGGGATTTATTTCTGGGCTCCTATTCTATTCCACTGGTCTGTGTACCTGTCCTTATGTCATTACCATACTGTTTTGATTACTGTGGCTTTGTAATAAGTTTTAAAATTGGGCAGTATGAGACCTCCAGCTTTGTTCTTTTTCAAGATTATTTTGGCTATTCGGTGTCCCTTGAGATTCCATATGAATTTTAGGGTAGATTTTTGTAGTTTCACAAAAAAAAAATTTCAATTGGGATTTTTGATAGGGACTGCATTGAATCTGTAGATCACTTTGGATTATACTGACATCTTAACAATATTAAGTCTTCCAATCCATGAATAAAAATTGTCTTTCCATTTACTGGTCTCTTTAATTTGTTGCAGCAACATTTTGTAATTTAAATATTTTATTCTTTTTGATGCTGTTATAAATGAACTGATTTGTACTTTTAAAAGCTGTTTTGTTATATACGTTATATATATAAAAAAGGCTACTTTATGCAAAGGAGGAAGGCTTTCCCTTTTCATAACCTCTTACTATTTGCATTTCTTCGTGAGAATGTGGTATACTTTTATAGATAAAACCCAGTTTTTAAAAGGGAGAGAAAAATAAAATAAATTTTAGGCAATGGTACAAGATCTAATCTTTTCTGAGAATTGATGTCTTAATGTCACTTTCCAAAATGGCTTACTTTCTCATTCTCCCAGATTGTTTCCAATAATTTTGTTAATGTTAAAATCCAAAACATTTGAGTGCTATTTTGTAGCTTACTAAGCAGCTTAACTTCACGCCCCAGACTTTTGGCCATAGATCAAGTGACATGCATGACTGGAAAATAGCATGTGACTGCCTGCCTTTGTGACACATTTTGCTAGAAGAGGGGATTTCTCCCCTACTAGGTATATTGACTGGGATGACCTCACAAAATTATTTTATTTCTTTTTACTATGAATCTTCCCAGTATAAGTAGTATTCCACCTACAAGCTGACTCGGGAAAGAGGCGTAACAGTTGCTTCTCTCTGCTTTTGTTTTGCTCTGTTCCATCTAGTGTTGGTCAGTAGAAGGGCAGGATCATATTGGCTCTGACTTCCTTAGAGCAAATTGGAGGCTAAGGAGAACCCTCAAAGGACTGGGCTTACAGTCAAGGATGTCAGTTTGAGTCTTGCCACTTGCTATTACTTTGAACTTCAGTTTATTCATCTGTAAAAAAGAGTTAGTAATACCTCTCTCATGGAGTTATTATGAGATACCAACTGGAAATCTAAAGATCTGGCACATAGTAGGTAATCAGTGAAGGTTAACTTTCTCCTTGGAAAAGAATCTGCCAGAATGTCACGATGTACTTGCAAAACTAGCTGGAGCACGTCTCCTGCCAGCTCTAAGGCAACCACCCACACATCCTGGAATAAGTCTCCACCAAGCCCGTATTCTCTCATCCGAGCTAATGTATGACAGGTAAAACAATAGAGTAAGTCTGAAATAAAAGTTATGGACATTCGCTAATTTAAGTAAAATCTTGGGGCAAACTAGAGAAACCCAAATAATGCAGTGCTGTGAACAAAAATACCAGTGATCTTTGCCCTGTGATACGAGAAAATAAGGGACACTACCAGCCTGGCCTACTTGATCTCTCATTGCTAAACGAGTTTGGCCGCTCCTCGTGTAGTAGGCTGTCCATATGGTGGGAAATGAACAGAAATAAGAGGTAATATTGAGGTGCTAGAGAAAGGGTTTGAGATTGCTCACTTTCTCTTAATAATTCTTTCTTTAGTATGCGCGCTGCCCTTGAACCTTCTGTTCTCTGCATGACTCAGTCTCCCTTTTGGTTTTAAGGTCCTGCAACTCCTGCCTCAACATGCTGCTTTGTTTGCCATCTAGCAGGGAGGGTGAACTGGTTCAGTTTCATTTCAGCAAGTCCAAGCCTGTTTTTCAAATGGTACTGGTAATTAATTAATTCCTTAGCATTTTTAGTTAACTTGAAGAAAGCTGGGATTTTTCCTTCTAAAATATCATTTTTGCTTTCCAGACACCACTAATTATGACTAAAAGAAATTCTGCCATCATTTCCCATTTCTCTATTTTGATGTTTATTCTGACTCTTATCAGAGTGGGGTGAATGGATTGGGATTGTGAGACTAGAAGCCAGAAAATAGAACTTAGAAAAGTAATGGCAGCTTCAGACAGACAGACAGACAGACAGATAGACAGATAGATAGATGATAGGACTAAGGCAGAAAGCAAAAAATAGTTGTAGCTCTTAGTTTTATTTTTTTTAAATCCACTTCTTTGGGCTTAATCACCAAGGCACTTAAGTTAAACATTTGGCTGAAGCTCTAGACACTAAAGCAGTTGCTGGCAGGATTGGGAGCAGAAGCCCGGCTGATTTTGTTCGCTCGTTTCACCCAGTTCTCCTGTACTTGCATTTTGGTGTCAGTACTTCCGTGTGTCACAGAAGAGGCTAAGGATGGAGTTATCATTTCTCTTCCAGATTAAATCATCTCTGGTTGAAGGATAGAATTTAAAACATGTAAAGAATTAGAATAGCAAAAAAGTGCCCAGCACTCTCCTAAGTTTAACTGCTTCCTGTTATCGTAGTCCCTTAATAACAGACCACACAGCAGCTTCTGTTGGGTTACATATCTTTCTCCTTCATTAATGATATGGGCCCACTCTTACCCTGGCTTTCTTAACGTCATTATTGATCTGAAAATAGACTGAGAAATGTAATAATACATTTATTGAAGGTATTATTGAAGGTATGTTAAATTCACAAAGAGCTGATGACAGGATTCCAATAAACCTGCAGACCTTACTCATGTTCACATTTTTAGGATGGAGACTGAAAGAAAGTGTCTAGGATATTCTGTTGAGTCAAGTCCTGGAGTCTAAATCAAGGTTCTTCCTGATGTTTTAGACCTTACAATAGGCGGGGAAATCCAGATGTGGGCACTTATGGTGATAGCTCTCATTTTTCCTTCTTTTCTGTTGGATCACTGTTAGAAGTTCCCTCCCCTGGTGTTAGCCACTATGAGAAGGAGAAAGAGCTTTCTATTCACATTGAATCCTAGGCTGTAGGCTGTGGTCCCTGAGTTTTTCTGAACCAGAGGGCCACAGAAGGGTAAAAGCATATTAGGAAGTGCTTCCTTTTCTACTGTTTGGACAAAGGAGGCCTTTGAGAAAGGGTCAGATGAATAGCGGGCATTCAGTATCACTGAGGATTCTCAGTGCTTGCCTGAGGACCAGGCTCTGCTTCCTCCACCTCCCTCCTACACGCCTTAACCCTTTCCTCTCCCCTCTCCCTCCTCCTCCCCTAGGAGGAGACCCTGAGCAGCCTGTTCAACTAGAAAATCGACAGACTGATAGAGATTTGGTTGCTGGACTGGGCTTTATAAACAAAATCTGCCTTTGGAAGAGAATGAGGAAACCAGGGTACCTAAGTTAGCTCAGCTCATAGAGTTAAAATAATCAGCCTTAGGTGAATATGCTTGCTTTTTTTACTTTGGGGTTTCTGGCTTACTTGTATTTATGTCAAAGACTTGAACCAAGTGTCGTTGTTGTTGTTGTTGTTGTTGTTGTTGTTGTTGTTGTAGCAGCCTACATTTGTTGAACACTATTTTATTCACTGCTCTGTTAGTCTAAACATTTGCGTATATGAACTGATTTAATTCTCAGAACATTATGAGGTAGATAATACATGAGGAAACTGAGGCAGATTGGTAACTTGCCCAAGGACGTAGTGGAACCAAGATTCAAACCTAGGCAGTTCTTCTCCAAAGCCCATTTGAGGACCACACAGCTTATAATTATTCTCAGATTCAGTAGTTAATGTTTACCCTTGAGTTACAGAAAGATCGGAAGCAGAGTCAACGTTGCGGTTGCTTTTCAGCGAATTGTGTCCTTATCAATGAGGGACCAACCTGCCTTTTCTTTCCTAGTGCTGAGGAATGTAAACAAGTTTGCTGGGCCTTGCGAGACTTCACCAGGTTGTTTCGATAGCTCGCACTCCTGCACTGTGCCTGTCACCCAGGTGAGTGGTATGCGTCCCCGGTTTCCCCCTGGCTACCTGGAGTGCTTTGGGGTGCGCACAGGTTTGAATGCCTATCATGGGACTAGTGCTATAACTGGAGTCAGAGAGGGACCTAACAATTTAACACTGCTGTACAGCTGGGAAATGCAGGGTCCTGATTGTCTTGGGCCAAGGCTTCTTTCGGATGCCATTTTCACCCCCATAAGAAAGTTACTGCTGCAAAAGTATTTTCTAACATGGTTACTTCGGTGAAAATAGTGCTGACCTAAAGTTGACTGTGGTACATGGCACCACTCTCCTAAAACTGACCTTTCAGATTTATAAGAAGAGATGCTTATTCTTGTCACTTTTACAGTTTGAGCACTGAAATGCCAAGTTTTGACCGAGGCAGGATGTAGTGGAGAGGAGCTGACATCTCTGTCTAGCTTCTGGTCATCAGTTTGCTCCATGCGCTTCTTGTCTCCTGATTCTGAACCAATGCAAGAAGCTGAACTGAGGAAAGAAAGGACTGGGTATTGGGATTTGGGTCCCAGTTTCCTGGCTGAGAGAAGAAAAGCAGCTCTCCTCTTGGCCCACCCTTTGACATCTTAAGCAGGATTTATTCCACCAGGAGACAATCCTCGATGTGTGTACCGCACTCACTGGTGGTTTCTGTGACTGAATGCAGTAGTAGGTGAAGGTGCCGTTCAGCAGTGCCTTGCCACTCCAGGAATGGTTTCTATGTTTGGTTCTGGAATGAGGAGTGATATAATTTGGGATCCTCAGGTTTTGCAGTGTCTGTGAAAGCGAGCATTGATACACCGGGTGGGCAGCTGTGAGTGTTCACAGCTAACATTCATGGAGCTCTTCCTGTGTATCAGGTACTGGTCTCAGTGCTTTATATGTATTAACTGAGCTAAGCCTCATACAGTTCCCTGGCTTAGTTACTATTATTATCCCTATTTTGCAAATGAGGAAATTGAGGTTCCAAGATGTGAAACCATTTGCTTGATGTCACAGTCAGTAATTGATGGAGCCACAGTTCAAATACAGACACTCTGGTGTCACAGTCCTCACCTTTAACTACTCTGTTTTACACTATTGCATTAGTACCCTTTTCAGAGAATCTAAATCTTTGGTTTTTAAACTTTTGTTAGTAGGCAAAGCCTTCTTTCAAAATAAAATCTCACACGAAACCCCAATGTTTCAATAGACTGAAGTGGAGATTTCCTAGTTGGTTTGGAGTGGGCAGCCTAGACCTACTGGCTCACCCTGTACCCCCACATAGCATCCTCAGGAACGGAAAAGCACTGCAGACAGTATTTCATTAAAGCAGTAGCTCCCTTCAGATCAAAAGTAAAAAATCCAACTTCTTTTTTTATTGAGTTCTTATGGCAGAGGCCAGAATGAGGTACCTGAGCAAGTCTATAAACTTCTGCCTTGACTGTGTAAAATGCTCTGTCTCCTGGACCACAAGTATTGACCATCTTCTCTCTTTTGTCAGGAATGTCTTTTTTAATTAGAAGACAGGAAGAAAACAAAAACCAGACTGTGTCCCACAATCAGAAACCTCCATTGTGGCAGAGGGGCCTTCACCGCCACCAGGGCATCCCACCAGACAGGGAGAGAGACTCCAGCCTTCTGAGGCCACCCTGAGGAGTTCCTGTTTGGGGGTGTGAGGGAAAATCAGCGCGGTTTTAAAAAAGATGGCTGCAGCCTGTCCGGCGTGGTGGGAGGGGAGCTGGTTTCCTGGTGAACTTGTTTCTAAAAGGAAAATTAATTTTAAGGAAATAAAAAAGGAAAAAAAGGAAAAGTAAACTAAAACCAGAACTGAAACATTCGCCTGGTAACAAACGAAATGCACACATACATACACTCACCTACACACATGCTAACACGTGTGTGTGTGTGCACACAGAAAAAGAAAAGTACAAACTTTCTGTGAAACAAAAAAAAACGGAAAATGGGAATTCAAGTGAATTAAATAGCTGCGATTGGAAGGGTCAGGATCATCTCTTAAGGTTTCGTATTGTTTTGTCCTCTCTTCTCTCTCCCATCCTCCCCTTTTTCCCATTTCCCCTCCTCTTTTAACAAAGTGAGTAGAAATGTCTCTCATCCTCCCCAGCCATTTCTTAACAACCTTTAGAGTTGTTCGGACAGGGAGGACTAAGCAAGGAACTTGTTCTGTTTTTATATTGTGGTCACATCAGTGATACTAGGACCTGCAAGGGCCAAAATTCGTGTGTATCCCAACTCTGAGCATCCTATTCAATCTCTGAATCCACTTCCAATCCACATTGGGTTGCTGTCAGCCTTGGAGATGAGCCAAAATTGGGGTGAGTGGGATGTAAATGTACATTCTAAGTTTTAGGTTTTTTTAAGATTTTTTTTGTTGTTGTTAATGTTTCACCCACAGACATGAGAGGAAAAAAAAGAGGGTGGGAATATGGGAAAAAGTGTTTATAGGGCCAACTGTTTTTACTAAAAAGTGTGGAAATTATTTGATTTCATGGGTATGAGACGGGACAGGGAAGCCCAAAGCAGATCTTAATGTTTTAAAGGAGTTGCAGCCCTGCACAGGCACTAGATATGAGGGCACTGTTCTGTCTGGTGTTGTAGCCATCTCAAGAACAAATCAACAACAACAACAAAAAAAGAAAAAAATAAATTTTTAAAATTTACTCCGTGTTTGTTTTCACTTCCTTTCACTGCCTCATAGTTCTAAAATGGTGCAGCAAGACTGCTTCAGTGAGCAGTCTTAGTTGCTATCTAATGGTCTGTGAATGGAGTTTAAAGGCAGGCCCCTGGCCTTAATGCCACAAACCATATTTCAGGGGAGTGGCTCGTTATGCATCTTTTATTCTTCTAGTTCATCCTAAAACTCTTCATGCTACGTATTATCTTTTCATATAGCCTCAGTGAAAAAGCTGAATTTAACATTCAGAATGTTAAACAGAAAGGTGGTATATTCTTTCCACAATGGCCACCCAAGTAGATTGCTTATTTCCTGACCTACTGAGTACTTGGTCTGTAAAATAAAAACCTGTATTGAAGTATAATTGACATCCAATAAGCTGCACATATTTAAGGTATACATGCAGTTGATAAGGTTTGACAGGATACACCCCTTAAATCCTGAACAATCAACATAGTGAACCTAGCTCTTGCTCCCAAAAGTTTTCTTATGTCTCTCCCCATCCTCCCCCATGCCCAAGTGGCCACTTATCTGCTTTCTGTCGTTGTAGATTAATTTGCATTTTCTTGAGTTTTATATAAATGGGATCACATAGTATTACAGTAGTTAGGCTTTGCACTAATAACCTTGACTGCAGAGCTGCACCTCGTATTTGGAATCAGTGAAACAAACTTTCCTGCATCGCATCAATTGTATTCCAAGTTTTACTCTAAAGAGGCACCATTGGGAGGGGAGGAAAAAACTTGAATGTGAAACAGTGTTTAGAGTGAGATTATCGAATTCTGGGGATCTGCACAGCACCCTAGTCATCCCACTCATTTTCTGGGGATCTGCACAGCACCCTAGTCATCCCACTCATTTTCTGGGTAAACAATACTTTAAAGCCTGGTCCAATCCTAGGTTATTGAAACAGGTAGTTGACTTTCCACTGTTAAGGAATTTGGCTTTTATCACAGAAATTTGTGTCTGGGACTGAAGAAACGGAAGACTTAATACAGCTCTCCCTGGCCACTGAAAAAGAGCATGTGGAATGCATCTCCTAATTAACATCAAGAACATCTCCACAGCTAGAGCTTTGGAAACCAGAACTCTTATTAATGGTGTTAGGTCCTACTGCTTACTATAAGTCTTACAGATTGCTTCAGACTAGTTCTTACAAATAGTCATTACTTTTCGGTATAGCGAGGATATCCACCTGTATTTTAATTTAAAAAGGAACTATTTGGGATCAGGTACCCTAATGCAGATACTGTGTTCCTGCATGATGTCTAGTGGAAGGAGAAGAATAATCTTGCACCTGAACTAAGTCATAAAGTCCCACAGAATCGTCTGTTCCTTCATTTCCCTAAATGGCTTAGCCAAGGAATTTTAGTCGTGATTATGTGAAACAAAGATCACCCATTGGGGCTATTCCCAGTGAGATTATACTAAAGAAAAATAACTTGTAATTTATTTTTTTTTTAAGATTTTATTGGGGAATTGGGGGAGGGGAACAGTGTTGGAGAATCCGGGAAGGGGAACAGACAAGCTACTGTCCTTTTGTTCTTCAGTGTAATTGTGGAGGACATCGCTTCACTGGCCCATGTTGGTATTATCACTACGCTCTTCCTGGGTGAGGCAGATCGGTCTCCGGCCACTGGACAGCAGCTCATGCCGGCTGCCGGCCACTCACAGTACCTTACAGGAGCCCACTGCAGCCTACACCATCACCGGCAACTCATGGCAGCCCAGCTCCAGGTCAAGCTGTTGTTCACCATCTTAGCTGTAGAGGGTGCAGCATCACTGGCCCAAATGTGGGCTCCGAACCGGGGCCCTGCTGCTCAGAGCTGGCGTCCCAAGCCAACTCTTAACCAATGCGCCACTCGTCTAGCCCTAACTTGTAATTTTTATGTGCCTGTACTATAAAGACCAATAACTGAGAATGTAGGATAAATAAGACAAAGGAACTTGAGCTTTTGAATGGCATCAGTACCTTATGAATCCAGTGTATGTGTCCACCTTGTGTGTCCCTGGTTTAACTAAATCATTGTGCAAAGGCCAAAATCCAGAGAAGTTAACAATCCAAGATAATGCAACAAGGTGTGCCTGATTTTCTTTGGATGCATTTTCAGCAAATGAGAAAGTTGCTCCCAAGAACATTTCTCTGACAAAAACACACAGGACAACAAAAGCATATAGGTCAGGAACAGGCGAATGAAATTCAAGTGTTAAGAAACCTGCATTATCCCTAAAAAAGACAAAGTAGCTTCCAGTCAAGATCATAAATGCTGTGCTGTCTTCCTCTCACAACCACATCAAAATTACAACTAAACTACAGAACAACCACTATTGAGAATCACATGAAGTTTAGCTGAACCGAAGTTCTACAACTAAGGACATACACAAGAAGCCATGTCCAGACTGGTAGGAGGGGCAGTGACACAGAATGAGCTGGTCCCACACCTGCCTGTGACCATTAAAAATCGGGAGGGATATCTTGGCTGCAGAGGTCCCCTGAGGAGGGAGGAATACCAGCCCCACACCAGATTGTCCAGGGTTCCGGTGTTGGGAAAAGAAATCCCCACAGCTTCTGTGAAAACCAGCAGAGTTTGTGAATGAGTGAGACGGGGCTGCTGGAGTCCCCAGGCGCTCCTCTTAAAAGGGTCTGCGCACGAACTTACTCGCTGACAGACTTGCTCTGAGCTGCAGCACTGAGGCAGCAGCTCAAAAGGTATCAGGGAGGGCCGGCTGAGTGGCGCGATGGTTAAGAACTGGCTTGGGACGCCAGAGGGCCCCAATTCAGATCCCACGTATGAGGGCCAGTGACACTGCCCTCTGCAGCTAAGATGCTGAACAACAGCTCAACCTGGAGCTGGGCTGCCGTGAGTCGCCGGCGATGGCGTGGGCTGCAGCCCCTGCTGCAGTGGGTTGCCATGGGCTATCGTGTGTAGCCAGCAGCCAGTGTGAGTGGCCAGCAGCCGCAGTGAGCGGCCGTCCAGAAGCCAGCGACTGATCTGCCTCGCTCGGGAAGAGTGCAATGATGGTGCCAACTTGGGCCAGTGAAGCAACGTCCTCCACAACTAGACTGAAGAACAAAACGACAGCAACTTGTCTGTTCCCCTTCCCCCAATTCCCCAGCACTGTTCCCATCCCCCCAATTCCCCAATTTTAAAAAAAAAGGTATCAGGGACATACAAGGAGGAACTTGTATGGCCTCTGGTCAAGGGCTGGAGGGGCAGCTTTCTTCCAGACAGAAGTGCTGGCAGAATCTATTGTTCCTTGAGCCCTCACCCAACCCAGCAGGCAGGCACCATATCTGAGTCTCCAAATCAACCTGGCTAACACCATTCACCCCGCCCTGCTCATTCCCTGAGACCCGGCCTCACCCAACTTTTGGGTCCACCCAAGCTGCTTCCAGTGGCTTTTCCATACAAACAGCCTGTCTTGGCTCATGCTGCAGACTTTCCTAAAATCTCTCAAAGGTTCACAGGCTCCAAATAACCAGTATTGGCCTCAGCATGGCCCATATCTCTTGCTAAGCAGCCCTAAGTCCAGTACTAGTGGCAGCTGGCCTCGGTTTGCAGCTTAGCCTCTTCCAGGTAGCCCCAAGCCCAGCAAAAGTGGCAACCATCTGCAGATCACTTGGTAGCTCATACCAAGTTGCTCTGGGCAGGGCACAGGCAGCGACTAACCTTAACCTGCAACAGAGCCCCTCCCAAGAGCCCTCAGAACCAACACACCCAGTGGCCAGCTTCAGACCACACTAGAGCACCACCCAACCACCTCCACAAACGACACACCCAAAGGGCAGACTAGCCAGGCACCAGAGCCCTGCTAAAGTGAATCCTGCTTGATAGTGTCAGCCCCTACACAACAGCTCCTCCACTGTAGTCATGGCCAGTCCTCACAACCAGTCAGCCTGAGAGTCAGTCCCTCTCATTGACATGCAAACAGCAACCAAGGCTCAACTACAGCAGGAAGGCACACACAAGGGACACACCTGGAGCGCCTGGCGCAAGTGACCAGGGAGACTGTGCTACTGGGCCCCACAGGACACCTACTACATAAGGCCACTCACTCTACTAAGACTGGGAGACATAGCAACTCTACCTAATACATAGAAACAAAAACAAAATGGGGAAACAAAAAAAAGCATGTTGCATATAAAAAAAACAGAACTCCAGAAAAAGAACTAAACAAAATACAGACAAGCAATCTACTGGACAGAGTTCAAAACACAGCTTATAAAGATGCTCAGTGATCTCATTGAGAACTTCAACAAAGATAGGAAACATAAAAATGGAGATAGAAAACATTAAAAAAAAATGAAGAATACAATCACTAAAATAAAGAAAACAGAGGGAATTAACAGTAGATTAGATGAATCAGAGGATCAAATCAGCAATTTAGAAGATAAGGTAGCAGAAAACACCCAATCAGAACAGCAAAAAGAAAAGAAAATCCAAAAAGAGGAGAGCAAGGAATTGAAAACCTATTTGAAGAAATAATGTTGGAAAACTCCCCTAACCTGGCGAAGGAGACAAGCCCAGGAAACACAGAGTCCCAAACAAGATGAACCCAAAGAGGCCCACACCAAGACACATCATAATTAAAATGCCAAAGATTAAAGACAAACAGAGAATCTTAAAAGCAGTAGGAGAAAAGCAGTTAGTTACCTACAAGGGAGCCACCCATAAGACTGCCAGCTGATTTCTCAACAGAAACTTTGCAGGCTAGAAGGGACTGGCAGGAAATATTTCAAGTGATGAAAAGTAAGGACCTACAACCAAGATTACCCAGCAAAGCTACCATTTAGAATTGAAGGACAAATAAAGACCTTCCCAGACCAGAAAAAGCTAAAGGAGCTCATCACCACCAAACCAGTATTACAAGGAATGTTAGAGGCATTTCTTTAAGAAGAATAAAAAGAAAAGATAAAAAATATGAATAATAAAATGGCAATAACTATCATCAACAATTACTTTCAGTGTAAATGGATTAAATACT